TCTTTGTATAGTATATTTTTAAATTGTTGGTCAATTTAATTTATTTCTATTTTTGGTAGAGACGGGGGTCTCACTCTTGCTCAGGCTGGGTTCGAACTCCTGACCTTGACGCAATCCACCCGCCTCGCGCCTCCCAAAGTGCTAGGATTACAGGCGTGAGCCACCACGCCCGGCCCAAAAAATTTTTAATTTTGATGATGTACAGTTGATCTATGTTTTCTTTTGTTGCTTGTGCTTTTGGTGTTATATCTAAGAAATTGCCTCCTCCAAGTCATGAAGATTTACCCCTATATTTTCTGTCTTTCTTTCTTTCTTTTTTAAATTATTAGACCACAAACCAGAACCCCATATACTTTCTTCTAAGAATTTTACAGTTTTGGCTCTTACATTTAGATCTTTGGTCCATTTTGGGGTTTGGGTTTTTTTTTTCGTAGACAAAGTCTGTCTCTGTCACCCTTGCTAGGGTGCAGTGGCATCATCATAGCTCACTGCAACCTCCAATTCCTGGGCTCAAGTGATTCTCCTGCCTCAGCCTCCCACGTAGCTGGGACTATAGACGTGCACCACAATGCCTGGCTAATTTTTCTATTTTTAGTAGAGACAGGGTTTCAATCTTGCTCAGGCTGGTTTTGAACTCCTGAGCTCAAGCAATCCTCACACCAAGCTAGGATTACAGGTGAAGGCCACCATGCCCAGCCCCCAACTTCATTTTTTTCCTTTCTTTTTTTTTTTTTTTTTTTTGAGACAGAGTCTCACTGTGTTGCCCAGGCTAGAGTGCCGTGGCGTCAGCCTAGCTCACAGCAACCTCAAACTCCTGGGCTCAAGCATCTCTGCTGCCTCAGCCTCCCAAGTAGCTGGGACTACAGGCATGCGCCACCATGCCCGGCTAATTTGTTCTATATATATTAGTTGGCCAATTAATTTTTTTTTTTTTTTTTGAAATCAGGGAAATGTCCAGATGGCCAATTAATTTCTTTCTATTTATAGTAGAGACGGGTCTTGCTCTTGCTCAGGCTGGTTTTGAACTCCTGACCTTGAGCAATCCACCCGCCCCGGCCTCCCAGAGTGCTAGGATTATAGGCATGAGCCACTGTGCCCGGCCGCAACTTCATTTTTTTATAGATGTGGATATCCAGTTGTACCAGCTGTTAAAAAGACTATTTTTTTCTCTATTTAATTATCTTAGCACCCTTGTTGAAAGTTAATTGACCATAAATAAAGCACTTATTTCTGGACTCTCCTTTCTGTTCCATTGATCTATATGTGTGCCCTTAATGACAGTACCACACTGATATCCCCATCTCTACTAAAAATAGAAAAAATTAGTCAGTCCGGCTTTGAGGTGAGCACCTGTAGTCCCAGCCACTCGGGAGGCTGAGGCAGGAGGATGGCTTGACCCATGAGTTGGAGTTGCTTTGCTGTGAGCCTAGGCTGACACCATGGCCAACTCTAGCCCCGGGCAACAGGAGTGGACTGTCTCAAAAAAAAAAAAAAAAAAAAAAAAAAAAAAGACAGACAGACAAGAGAAAAGTTACCAAAAAAAATTGTTAACACTTTGGGGTGAGGCAGTTATGAAAAATACATGTATTAAAAGTACAGAAGGGTCCTGTACTCAGATACTTCAAGAGTGTGTTTATGTTCTTGGTCCACTTCAAAGAAGCTGAGACTGGAAATTTTAGATCATGTGTTATGGATGTGATTTATAAAAAGAAAAAAATCATGGGAAACTCCAGTCAGCAGATTTATACCCAAGGAAAAGCCGTTGGCCGTATACCTAGAACTTGGTCAGTGAATGTGCATCTGTAGCATGTAAGTTAAAATTAAGTGATTAAGCTTAGTCTGAGCTGTTTTAGTGATTCTTTGCTGTTCACCAGTGATCCCGATGGCATTGGATAAGAGGGCTCCGACTTTAAGTTTTTGTTAATAGTGTTAAGATAGGTTTTAAGTTACAGTTTTTAGATTTTGTTTTCTTTTTTTTCTTTTTTTTTTTTTTTTTGAGACAGAGTCTCACTGTGTTGCCCAGGCTAGAGTAGAGACGGGGTCTCGCTCAGGATGGTTTCGAACTCCCAACCTCGAGCAATCCGCCCGCCTCGGCCTCCCAGAGTGCTAGGATTACAGGCGTGAGCCACCGCGCTCGGCCCATTCTTTCAACATATAGTCCTTGAGCACCTACTCTATGTTAGGAACTGTTCTAGACACCAGGAAAACAGTAGTGAGCAAAACAGACAAAAGTCCTTGACCTCTAGAAGAGGAAAACAGACCAAAAACAAGATAGATAGAATAAATATACTACTGTTTTATTTTATTTTATTTTTTTGTGACAGAGTCTCACTCTGTTGCCTGAGCTAGAGTGCCCTGGCGTCAGCTTAGCTCACAGCAACCTCAAACTCCTGGGCTCAGGCAATCCTCCTGCCTCAGCCTCTCGAGTAGCTGGGACTACAGGCATGTGTCACCATGCCCGGCTAATTTTTTCTATATATTTTTAGTTGGCCAATTGATTTGTTTCTATTTTTAGTAGAGACGGGTCTCGCTCTTGCTCAGGCTGGTTTCGAACTCCTGACCTTGAGTGATCTGCCCGCCTTGGCCTCCCAGAGAGCTAGGATTACAGGTGTGAGCCACCTCGCCCAGCCTACTGTTTTAGATAGTAATATATATTGAGTAGAAAAAAAATAAAGCCAGGAAGGAGGATATGACATGCTGGATACATGTGTGTCTGTGAAATTTCAGATAGGGTAGTTAGGGAAGACTTTCAGGTAAAGGCTAACATAAAGGGAAGGAGGCAGCTATGCAGATATTTGGGTTATGGCAAGTGCAAAGGCCCTGAGGTGGCAATGAGACTGATTTATTCCAAGAGCCGGGAGAGTGGAGAGCGCCAAGGGGAGAGCATTCAGGGACCAAGGCAGAGGCTGGGGGCGGTTTGCAGGCCTTGGGAGGGACTTCTGCTTTTACTTTGAGTGAGGTGGGAATATCGGAGTGTGGGAGCAGCGGGGGGTTGATTTACACTGTCCAGCCGGGTGGAGATGGGCTGTAGCGGGCAAAAGGAGACACAAGGACCCCTGAAAGGATAGAGCACGGAGAAGGGAAGGGGTGACAGATTCTGGATCTATCCTGTGGGTGGATTCCACAGGATCTGCTGCTTTATGGGACGAGGAGGAGAAAGGGGGCAGGTAGCTGGAGGATGCAAAGTGCTCCCAGCCTTTGCCAGGCGAATGCGAACTTCATCAATGACTGAATGAACAGGCAGAGGCTGCAGCCAGCTAAGAAGAGAACCGGGGGTGGGGGGCTGATTCTGAGCCTGCCAGGCCTGGATTCCAACCCCGGCTGCGTGGCTTCTGGCAGGTCATAAACAAGCAGAGCCTCTGTTTCTTCAAGTGCAAACGGAGCCAAGGACTGGGCCTGCCCACCGGGGTGCGGGAGGCTCGGGGAGGTGGTGCGGGACAGGCCGCGCCGGGCACCCCCGGACGCTCCTCACCAGCCCAGCTCGGCCAGACGCAGCCGGGTCCCCAAGTCCCCGCCCCTCCGCGGCGGCGCGGACCGGCGGGTGCGCGGGTCTGGGGTTCGGAGGCGGCGGGCAGCCCCCGCCCGGGTGGGACGCTCGGGACGGCAGCATTCCCACTCGGCGTCCGCCGCCCCCGGTGGGCGTGTCCCGGATGAAAAGACACTTTTCCGGCCCCCTCCGCCCCGCCCACTTCCGGGCCGCCACTTTCACTTTCTCTTCCTCCGAAGCCGCTCCCCTCCAGCTTCCGAAGACTGGGGCGTCCCGGGAGGGGAGTTAAGTTACAACCCCGGACGCGGGGGCGCCCCCGCAAGTGGGGGCCCTCCGGACAGGTGGCGCGCCCCCGCCGTGCGGCGTCGGGCAGTCCTTCCCCCGCTCCCCCGCGTCTGTCCCGTTTCCTCTTTCGCCCCTTGCTGACTCAGCTCGGTGCCCCTGCCTTTTCACGGTCCCACGCGGGGTCCGGTTCCCTAGGCCAGGCCGCGTCCCCGGTCCCCGGGCGGTGTAAGGCTGCCGCCGGCCGCCGGGGACGGACACCGAGACACAGGGCTTGGGCCGCGCCAGAGGCCACCGGGCCGGGGCTGAGTTGTTCCTGGTCGCCTGCCTCTCCCAGGTGACCCGCAGGTAGCATTTCCCTGGAGCCGCAGCCCCCCGGGGGGATGGGCACAGCCACGCCAGATGGACGAGAAGACCAAGAAAGGTGGGCAGCGACTGGAGGTAGCTGGGGGACTTCTGGTGGGAAGTGGGTCCCTCTGCCTCCCTGCCTCTGTTTCCTCCCTTGAAGCCCGTCCGCTTCCAGAGGCATTTGGAGCCCCCGAGGCCGCCTTGGGCCAGCTTTGTGCTGAGATGGGGGTGGAAGGTTCCCAGAGGACACAGGGCGTTGAACTTGGAGACTGCCCCGCCTGGTGAGGAGACAGACCTTGTTTGACCTGAGTAGCACAGGTTCTTGCCTCTTCCCTTACCCCGTGCACCCTGCGTTGTAGAACTCGAGTCACATCACGGCCTGCTCCAAACCCTCCCATGCCCCTCTCTGTTCTTGGAACAAAGCCCAGAGACACGGGACAGCCACAACAGCCTGCTGGCCTCTGACCTCGGGACTCCCCCAGTCACCTCCCTGCTCACTCTGTTGGAGCCCCGCTGGCTTCCTTCTGTTCCTGTCCAGCCATTTCTTGCCCAAGGCCTTTGCCTTTTGTCTCCACCTGGAACACTCTTCCCCCTGGTCTTGACATGTCCCGCTTCTCCTCCTTCAGGAGTCAGCTTCAGTGGCACCTCCTCCCAGAAGTAGTTCCCGGTCTCCTCTGTTTATTTCCTCTCCAGCTAGGGTCACAATCTGGCTTTTTTCTCTCTTGTGAAACTTGTGTCTGTCTCCCTGCTGGGCAGGGAGGTGCTTGAGAAAAGACACCCTGTTTACCTTAATCACTGTTGGATCCGAGTTCCTGAACAGTAGGTGGCACACAGTAAATGCTTGTCAGATAAATGAATAGAAATATGCCGGGCGCGGTGGCTCACGCCTGTAATCCTAGCTCTCTGGGAGGCCGAGGCGGGCGGATTGCTCGAGGTCAGGAGTTCGAAACCAGCCTGAGCAAGAGCGAGACCCCGTCTCTACTATAAATAGAAAGAAAT